ACATTTAATTATAGATAAAAAACTGCATAAAGATTTTTCCTATGTCGATAGTTTCATTGGATGGATAGTACTTATTAAAGTTTATTACCAAATTTAATACCAATTAATCACAGAAAATTAACAAATGTTCAGTAATAAATATCGTTAATTAAAAAACCTATTTTTTGCAATTTTCTTGGAACATTATAAAAAAGGTTTGAAACATCTTTAGAATAAATGTTTAGCGTGACTCGTTTAGGACAATAAGTTTATGTATTATTTGTTAAATGATAACAATATTATTAATTTATTACTATAATTCTGACAACTATGAATATCTTTCGTATGTTTCCAAAAATAGACATATACGAACTTATAGTTGGAAATGGAGATCTAGACGAATTATCTATAAATCAAAGAAGGAATATAATATGGAAAGAATCATAATAGTCCAGTCGTCAGTTATTTTACATCCAAAAATTAGACGAACAAACTAAATTTTGCTGAGAATGTCAATTTTGGAGTACGAAAAATATTCAAAAAAGTTTACCACGTATACTCCCCGGCTTCTCCCTAAAAACACTACTCGCAGGAGAAAAATCGATTTACCAAGAATCTGTACACTGTAGAAAAAAATAATTCAAATAAAAACTGTAGCTGAGATAATTTTGAATAAAAATGTTCATTAGCACTTTTTGTATAAAATGAACCGTTCTCTCAGAAACAACGCTTGACAAATTTTAAATCAAATTTGTATCAACTGGACGGTAAAAAATCGATATCTATTGATCAGAGTGTCCTATCGACACAAATCAAAATGCATTTTTACAGTGAAGAGAGCAGATTTTGTATGAAATTTTGGAATTTTCCCCCAAATAAAGTCAGTTTCTATAAATCTGACCAATAAATAACTGTTGAGCAATATTTCCCATTTTTTGCGATTCTCTTGAGATCATTAAAATGTATCACTTCCACTGACTGGTTGCTATGAAATTTTCACTGTTAGAATCTAATCCGAATTAAAACCTATAACAGTAAATTTCGATTATGAGTTTTGGCAACAATATAAGGCATTTCAAATATGCCTAAAAAACGCAAATTTTCAACTTTCACATTAGTGATCGGTAAATAAATCTTATAAATTTTATTGACTCATCAGAGTCATTAAAAGTGTTTCACTTACAAGCATTATGTCTAAATTATTATTTTGTACAAAACCACGGATTTCTTGCGCGTGCTTGCGTAGGCCGTTGGCGTTCCATACAGCAATTTTAATTAGGTGAGTCATTTGAATATTTTATTGACTAGGGTAGAAAGCAAATTCAGCATTGTATTTTAGCAGATTTTAATTCAGTCATATCATTATTTTGTTGTATAGCTACAGTCTGGCAATTAATAAATGAAACTGTAAATTACAAATCACGCATAATAAGTGGCCAAAAGTAGCCGAAATCACGTTTTTATCATGAATTCTCGAAAATTTTGAATACGATCATTGGCGGTGCGTAAGAAAATATGTTTCTTTGCTAGTCACTTTACACTGATAATAAAAATACATAATATTAAAAGTAATACATTTAGATCTAGTTTATGAAATAAGTTTTTATTCATATTAATAATGTGTAGACTGAGCGGATGTGTGGAAGTCGACTATATACCTAAAGATGTAAAATACTCAAATAATACTTATACTCGGAATTCAAAAGGATTGTCAGCTTATCGTATAGGAACGATAGGCCCTCGTGGGGTTCGAGATGAGAGACGCGTGTAGTTCAATGGTGGCGTGTATATTTTTAAAATAAGGGAAATAATAGGGAACTTGCACATAAAAATATTTTTGCGTCAACGGTCAAATTGTTAATTTATGTTAAATATATTTTGTTAAAATGTTATGTAAAAATATTATATTCAAAATATTACGCCTTAACAATTAATTGTGTAGGCCAGATGTACACACAATATTTATATTACTTTTAGTTTAAAAAATATGTACATGTTTATTTTATAACATCTCAAATGCTAAATTATACTTACTTACTTAAGCCGTCCTCTTGTACCTTACGGTGTCGAGGTGCTAAATTGTATTATATTTCCAACCCAAAACTTTCTTCCCTTATACACTACGACTGATATAGGAGTAGACGTCGCGCGCTAGCAGATTTCAAATATTGTACCGAGACCTCAGTTGATCGAGAACCGCTTAGCTGTATACAACTGTATACACTTGTATACAGCTTGTATACAGCTAAGCGGTTCTCGATCAACTGAGCTCTCGGTACAATATTTGAAATCTGCTAGCGCGCGACGTCTACTCCTATATCAGTCGTAGTGTAATAATGAAATTTTACGAATATACTTATGATTCGTAATAATTTATAATAAACAAAACCCATCATTTATAAATATCTTAAATGCATAACAAACAAGAATGAAAATAACTTAAAAATATAAACGAAACTCTTAGTAATAAACGTACGAATACCTAATAATTATTGTATAGCCTTGCATTTCCCCAATAGAATATCTTCCACTGCTTTTTTATAAAATTGTCCACCATTAAGACATCAAACTGTAGATGAATTGTCAGATTAACTAAACTAAACTAAACACGACGTAGCATTCAAATTAAGCAATTTCCAAGAACACAAATATACCTAATACCTGGGAATTTCCAATTAAATGAGACAACTACTAACCACCTGATTTTAATGGTTGTTTGTGTCCGCCTGTCTCTCTATTGGCACTCAAGGTATACCCCAATGGCACAGATAAGCTGCAAGCGGTACTAAATAATAAATTTCGCAAACAAGGCGAGTAGTTCGGACTTCCAACAGATGTAACCGGTAAAAATGATAATTGAGAAGTGGATTTGTGTGCTAATAAAGAAATAAATATATAGCCGCTTAACACCGAGTGTTAACGAACTACAAAATGTCTGCCCTGACAATCCTATTGAATTCAGAGTATAGTATATTCTTTTTTTTTTAGATCGATATGTATGTACCCAATGTCTTTTAAAAATATGCCAAAACGTGTTTATTTGGAAGAAGTTATACATCGAGTCATGCATGACATGAATCATATTGTTACAAATACAGTACTCCCCGCAATTAATTCTACGTATTGCGTTTACAGCAGTAAACAAAACAAAACGTAATTATCGAGATTCTAAGTATATGTCTGAGAAAAATTTAATTTTCTTGAGTGTCAAATAACAAAGAAATCTATTTAATAACGGAATTAATCAATGTCCTGACATTATGTCGAAATGTATTTATAGAGCAAAATAAGGACACAACAGATGAATCAACAGCTGAGTCAGCAGATTGCCGCAATTACACAACGAAGCAAATACTTTTATTTTATAAGCGTCAATCAAAACTAAAAATTCTATCAAAGGAAGAACTGGAATACAAAGTAAACGTTTAACTTGCATGGTATAGAACAGGAATAATAACACAACCCAAAAAAAAAGAAAAAATTTGGTGCTTGAAAAATAACTAATTTTTAATATTTTGGATGCTCTTATTTCAAAAGTGGCTTCTTTTTCTTTTTTTTTTTTGGAATCGATGGTATAATTTTAACTTTGCTGGAAAAGATACACAAAGGTACCTGGATTTCACCAGACGTACGTGAATATGATCCTTATATTGTAGACTCGAGACACCAATCCAATATAAAAAACATTCGTTCCAGAAGAGCAGCAAATGCGCGTTTTGATCACTACTGGATCGAAAGTAGTGTAAGGATCAGAATTTTAAACGTTTAAACAAGGAAATAGGTTCTAAACATGAACGATACAATGTAAAAAGACTTAAAAATACAAACAAAAGTGGAGAAAATAAATAAAATATAAACATCAAACTAGAAAACAGACATAAATGAAGAGTGGGAAGGATACAAAAACATAAAAGAAGCAGCTGAAGAATTACTAGACATAAAAGATAAACAGAAGTACAAGAGCGAATGACTGTTTTGACGAAGAATATCAAATTATAACAGAGACGAGAAAATTTTACCAGAAACTGAACAAAAGCAAAAGGGAATTCAAACAGAAGAATCAAAGAAATATGGATAGTAATTATATTGATAGAACAGCAAGAAAAACTAAGAAGAAGGAATTCCTGAAGGAGACCGAAAATGTCTTAGATTATATTGATATATTAGATGTTCGTTTGTAATACTCCATTTAACGTTTTTTATAAAAATATTGCTTTAATTATGTGTTGTTAATATGCCTACGCTAATTACAAAATAAATTCTCCGCTACTGATACATTTCTTGGTAAAATTCATAAGGACAGCTAAATTATACAATAACTTACAATATCACGAGTATGAATCATTTCATTATTTCTTTGCTGAAGTATAGATTAGAGTGGTAGAGTGGAGTGGTTTGGTAATTTATTTGGGGTGTCAGTGGTTATCCTCTCTGGGCGTAACGGATTTTTGGCTGAATGTTGGTTGTTCTATTGTTATTTGGATGGTCGTTATTTGTCTTAGCTTTGGGTACATTTTTTCTTGCAGTTGCTTATGGACTATGCACTCTCTATAATTCGCTGGATGATTTTCGTTTCAGTTAACACATCTAACAGTATTATTGTGACTCTGAGCATTTTACACAGCGAGGGTTTCTGTGACAAAATTTTTTTTTCTGTGTCCATATTCTTGACATCACAAGCACTGTGGTATCTCTCTGTTGGGGCGTGGTGGTTCAAAAACTACATTTAAATACATTAGCTGTTTCGTATATATGTCTTTGTTATTTTTATTTTGTTTTAGATTTCTAAAGAACATAGGTAGACGTATTTTAGTGGATCTTTGTTTTATATTCCAGATGTTTGTGGGTTCGTCTTTTAAGATTTTTATATATTTCTAATGTTTGTTGATGAGTGGATGTCCTTTAATACTACTCTAAATGCTTTTATTTCTTTAGTTTTGTGTAAGATTTTGCTTGTTTTTCTCATTTAGGGCTTTAATGATTTTAGAGTTAGTTTGTCCATCATCAACCTGCACTCCTCATTACTCTTTTATACTGCATTTGCCTGCAATTTCTGCATCTAACAGTGCTATGAGGAAATTTATATTTTCTACTCCAGTGGTACATATTGGTGGAGGTTTGCGTTCTTTTTTGGTGCTATCATCTGGTATTTCCATAGTTTGTTTTTCTGACTCTTCAGTGAGTCTACTAAACCTATTGCTTAGCCAGTATTTATAGAGTTTGGTTTGTCTTGTCGATTTTGTATTTTCTTTCTCTCGACTTTTCGGGCAGTTCCTACTAGGAACTACATCCCATTCGTTATTAGGATCAAAGGAAGTTCATTTAAAATATACATCGATGTTTTTTGCGATGCATTAATCGGAAGGCTTGCATCGATGTTTTTCGATGTATCGAAATGAAACATCGATGTTTTCGATCAAGAGGCCTTTTATCATGTGACTAGAGCATGTGCAGCAGCAATTTACTATAGTGTTTGTACTATTTGAATGATCAACAATTAAGAAGTAAGGCATCATTACTTCTCTGTCAGAGATTTTTTATACTTGTTTACTTACTATAAAAATGATGGCATTTGTGCAAGCTAAATTATCTCCAAAATGGAGTTTTTTTAAACGTGGGTCCAATATTGTACTTATAGCTAAAGAAGAAACTTGCTCGAAAGCACCCATACGTTTGTTGATCTCTTTCAAGATTAATTTTTGTACGTCCTTCGCCAATGGTTCATCAATTGAAAGGGCTTTTAATTTGGAAATCATGCAGTGAACCAAAGGGATTACCTTACTGCTTGAACAATACTTATCCACAGACTTATCCACAGTGTTGAGGCTATAATCAATTCTAACCCAGTTAACATTTCAGGTGCTGTTTTATGGCGTATCAATATATCACTTACCGAATTTTTCAGCTCCAAAAATCTCTGAATCATGTAATATGTGCTGTTCCACCGAGTGGACACATCTTGTATGAGTTTTGGTTCTGCATTACCTCTCACTGACTTTCGTAACTCATCACTTTCTACATAACTATGTTTAAAAAAGGTCATAATGGCTTTTATTTTTAATATAAAATTTTGTAAATCCGGTATTTGCAGCCTATTTTCAGACCGGCTGCTATATATTCAGACGTATGTCGTTGATCCAGATGGTAAAATCCCAATGTAACTGATTGAAACTCCGTGCCTAGTTCAACAAGAGCAGTTACATCTAAAAAACTACGCATCTGCATGTCTGACCAAATATCACTGGTCAAAGTCACATGTTCAACACTACAAATTTTTGATTTCAATAAAGTTGACAAGACATCATATTTCTCATCAAGCAACCATGTAGTGGTACTTGTACTTGGTATGTTATAGTAAGGAGCAGTCTCTTTAAGAAGATGTTTGAAACCTTCATCATCTACCAAAGAAAACAGCTGATTGTCTTTATAATTGAAATATAAAATGGTGTTATTAATTTTTCTTGCTTTATCACCAGTAGTAGATGTATTAGAAACAATTTCTTCAAAGCTATTTTTTATTGATCGTTGAATCTTTGGCCGCTTTGAAGATGGCCCTGCAGTATAGTCAATGTCAATAGCCTGGTCTTCTGACGGTAGAGGTGTGGCATCAGTGTGGGAAACGCTGGAACCTTCAATAACTTCATTTTTGTTTATGGATAACATTTTGGGACAATATAGAGTTTTTTGTAGTGCATAAACTTGACTTTTTTTGTTGCCATAATATCTGAAATAAAAATTATATTTGTTATGTTTTATAACAATTAACTATGTATTAAAGATAAATCTCTATATTTATACAAAGATCGTGTATCATTATTATAAACACAAAAAACTTATTATTACAATAAAAAAACTTCATTTCAAGAAATAAAATTACTCGCTATGGAATTAGAATATTACTCATGTTAAAAAAATACAAAGTACAAAGAAAGTACAAGCTGATGATAGCCGCAAATGTCAAACATTTTCGTACAAAAATTTTCTTTATAGCAGTGTTGGCATGTTATTACAATGTAGATGCTGTATGCTTCAAATATAAAAATATAAAGATTTAGAAAATTACATTTTGTTTATATTATGTTATACATTATGCAATTTTTGATTTATATAAAACAACAATAAGTAAATCTTTGTTTCTTTGAAGATTAATTGCAGTTAATTATTAAAATTTTTTTTAGCAATTACCCTTTGGTAGATTAGTGGATAGATTTGGCAATCGTCAAATCAGCAGTTGCCAGATTACAACAGATGTTTGCAATGAATCTCGAAAGAGACAAATATCTACTCGTTACTGCTTCATATAAATTAAAAATTGCAGAATTTATAAAATAGTATAATCAAAATGTACTTTTTAAAAGCTTTATCTCTTTATAATTGAAGCATAAATAATTATAAAACCATGCCAACATTGCCAAGCCGAAATATTTTTGCCATTTGCTGCTAGATTCAGCTTGCACTTTCGGTAAACTCAACCGAAATTTGCTTTTTCATGCAAAACCTGCGCATGGCAAGGTTCGTCCTAATATTATATCTAACTCAAAGAAATCAAACTAATTTTAGGCTATTTAGGAAAGTGTTTTTTTATCTTTGTTTTAACTATTTGCTAATTTTTTTGCCAATATCCTCAATGGATAAGGCACGAGAAGAAAAGAAAAATAAAAAACTCTGCGCTTGCGCTAAAACAGGTGGTAATTGATAAGTAAGGGCACAGAATACACCACCAGTTGGTGGTGTATTCTGTGGTAAGGGGTCGGCCACAACGGCGCACCGCACATCGCATAGCACAACGCAAAGCACAATACCCCGCACCTAGCTTAGCCTTTGCTTTGCACATTAGTACCCGTATTGACGCACTGTGCACCGCACATTTATTCTGTTTCTTTAATCATGTCGTCGTCGTCCTCTTCATCGGACGAAGAAAGCATTAGTTTAAATTCTTTTAAGACATGGTGTTTATGCAGAGAACAAACAAAAATTGCGTAGCATCGGAAGCGAATTTCACCACCTTTTATAAAGACAGAAAAGATTCTCAATGCTTTTGAATACATGAGAATGAGTATAAATACGTTTAATTATATTCTAAACATATTTATGTTAATTACTATTTAACTGGGAATAAGCCACAATTAAAGATGAAAAAAATACGTTTATTGACGTTTCAATTTCCACTTTGGAAATCGTTCTCAAAATACAAACGATTTCCGAAGTGAAAATTGAAACGTCAATAAACGTATTTTTTATCTTTAATTGTGGCTTATTCTCAGTTAAATAGTAATTAATTTAAAATGCCACAAGAAAATAGCTTCAGAACAATATAATTATGTTAACATTACGGTAAGTTAAAAATAAGTTTTAAAAAAATATTTTATTGAAAAAAATGTAATACAAATTAGTGTGAAAGGTGCATGTCATAATAAACATTTAGCATACTTGAGCGCTGAAAATGCAGGCTTTCTGACAAAGCTTGATAATAAGTTCGCATATCGCCTTTATAAACCCTCATGGATTGACCAGTTTCTGTACTGATGTTTAGTTCAAGACTTTCGGAATTTTCATGACGGATTGGCTTTAAAAACAATAGAGATTTGAAATATTATCAGTTTGAGTGTTCATTATCATCTTCTTCAACTCCATCTTCGGAATGTTTTATTGGTATGTCTGGCCATATTGGTGGCCAATGGTGGTATTGGTAAGTTTGGCCTTCTCATTTCGTACGGGTAAAACTACAGTGAGTAATACAGAGATGGGCATCGACACGTCGACTTTAATTGTCGACACAGACGTGTCGACAATGTCGAGAACGTGTCAACAATGTCGACAATGTCGACAATGTCAGCAACGTGTCCATAATGAAAAAAAGTGAGGTTATGTTATGAAATTATTCAGTTGTAAACTTTGAATGTGATCTGATCTGATCAGAATCAAAATGAGTGGCAGAAAACTGAATAAAAACTATGATATATTATCATTCAAAGTATTAAAGATAGAAGGAAAGCACGCGGCTAAATGTTGTGTATGTGGAAATGTGATAAAAAATACAGCTGCAGCAAGATTGCAAAGTCACAGGTAAGAAGAAATATTTTAATTAATTTTAGCTGGATAGCTATAGAGATTTATTCTCCGAAATTGATATTTGTATCGGCTGATAACTAACCCCGTCCCGTACTTTCATTTTAAGAAACGTCTGCAAGTTAGATCGTGGCAATGGTAATCAATCCAATAATGAAATGTCGCATGTTTCGATATACGAAAATACTGGCTCAGACACAGGTTTTACACCTACAGTTAATCCACAAGTGAGTATATAGGACGTATGTTCTACTACATATTTAGCAGGGGCGGATCTAGAAAAAATTTTGGGGGGAACTTTTTGAACTTACATTTATCTATAATATAAAAATGAATCTTAAAATGTGTTCGGAGCCGCATAACTCAACAACGCATGGATCACCATTTCGGTAGTAGTATATTGGAGAAAACATGGCGTCAAAAACCGTATAGCCATCTAACGGCAAGAAGTGAAAATAACGCACTATATATTATTGTAGATTTCTTGATTACTATTTAATTAGAATTCGGAAGGGGACATAAATTGCATCAGTTTTCACCCCAGAATTTGTATTCTGAGGTTTTCACGTTGTTGCATCTCTATATACAGGGTGTCCCATTTAAAAAAACACCAAGTTTAGTATTTTACGGCAAAAAACGGTTTCTCCTATTGAATTAAGTACAAAACGCTGTATCTATGCCAACTTCTGTATACAGGGTGTCCGTAGATCCGCCCTTTATATTTAGTCACCTTAGAATTTCTTTTTATTTTGAATTTTAGAATACAACGAACGGTAGTTACGAAGTTATGGAAGATGGTTCGCTAGCTATTGTGACTGGAACTTCACCTGAAAACATGCTAGATGGAATTATAGAAAATTCATTAGATACCGATGCCGCCTTATTGGAATTGGAAGAAAACAATGGTGTAGCAATTCAAGGCACTTATAGTATTGTTGAAAATATGATGTTATCAACTACTGATACTGAGAGTAGTAATTTGACTAACTTAAGTACTCCAACTTCCTCCAGCACAAGCTACACAAGCACGAATAAAAGAAATTTATTCGCTACATTTCAAGCTAGACCAGCCAAAAAATCAAAGAAAATCACCGACTATATGGACATATTACAAGAGTATGAAGAGGAGAAGATAAACACTGCACTAGCCAAATTTATATTCGGCTGTAACTTACCATTTACTGTGGTAGAATCACCTCTCTTTAAAAATTTTATAAAAACGATCCGTCCTGCTTATTTAGACAAAATTCCTGGCCGGAAAAAACTTTGTACATCGCTTTTAAATAAGTGCTATGAAGACTGTATTGAGATTTCACGTAAAAAAGTGGAAACCGAGTCAGTCATTTTGTGTGACGGTTGGAAAAACTCATCTACTAATTCTAAAACGGTTGTGACAATGTTGCATAGTGCAGACGGAAAAAATGCCTTTCTTGGTGCTTGGGATTTAACCACGGAGTCTGAGACTGGAGAAAAACTTGCCGAAATAATAACAGAATCTAAAAAAATTGCAAAAGAAAAATACGATGTAGATGCGTACGGTATCTTCTTCTTCAAGTGCCGTCTTCGTTCCGAAGTTTGGCTATCATCAAAGCTATGCGTATTTTTGATGCTGCAGATCTAAACAGTTGGTAATTGGTGCAATTGTACCATTCTCTCAAGTTTTTCAACCATGAATGCCTTCTTCTTCCTATAGATCTCTTTCCCACTATCTTTCCCTGTATAATCAATTGCAGCAACTGGTATTTATCTCCCCTCATAACATGTCCCAAATATTGTAGTTTGCGCTTTTTAACAGTAAGTATCAGCTCTTTCTCTTTCCTCACTCTCCGCAAAACCTCCACATTTGTTACTTTCTCTGTCCAGGGTATTTTTAATATTCTACGATACATCCACAACTCAAATGCTTCTATCTTTTTGGTATCGATCTTTTTCAATGTCCATGTTTCCATCCCGTAGAGGAGAACTGACATAACGTAACATCTCAAAAGGCGAATTTTAAGTTTTAGACTTAGATCTCTTCCGCAGAACACCTTTTTCAATTTAGTAAATGTGGCTCTAGCTTTCTCTATTCTGGTTCTGATTTCTTCAGAGCAGTCATTATTTTCGTTGATAACAGTTCCCAGGTAATTATATCTTCTTACACGTTCGATTCTTTGATCATGCACGGTTATATCAGTTTTGTGGTGATTTAGATATTAGCATTATTTTTGTTTTGCTTATGTTAAGTGATAATCCGTGTTCTTCACTGCATTCTACTATTTTGTTAATTAGTATTTGAAGATCTTCCCAAGTTTCTGCGATTAGTACCGTGTCATCGGCATATCTCAAGTTGTTTATTCGGATGCCATTTATCTTAATACCTATATTTTGATCCGAAAGTGCTGTGTTTATAATGTCTTCGGAGTATAGATTGAATAAGGTCGGTGAGAGTATACAACCCTGTCTTACGCCTTTCTTGATCTCGATTTCCTTCGTTGTCTCTTGCGTACGGTATAGTTTCGGATAATGCTAGTGCAATGATTAAAATGGGATCCCTCCTCAAGCACAACATGTGGCACTCTACGTGCAGTAGCCACACCGGCAACCTTTTAGCC